TGAGAAACACGTATGTCCTACAAATGGTGAGACTCCTTCAGACAAGTACGAATGCGATATTTGTATGACCCCTTAGAGCGGTATTCTATCCCTTCATATGCGTCATGGTATGTGACACAACCCGCTCTCAGGGATGTAACCATGTTGATCGTATGCTTTGCGTCCCTGTCTTCCTTAGCCTGAGCCCGAACCTGTCCTTCCCTGTGCGGGCCCTGTTCTGTGACCTGCATTATGTGTGTTCCCTGTGCTGTCCCCCGTCCTGTGAGAGCGACTTCACTCAAGGTGGCACGATCCTCCGGAATTACAGCGCGTCTGTATAGTATACCTGATATACTATACATACAGTTTGAAAGAGATGTGCATCAAAAAACGTGATAAGATCGCTGTCTTCCTCGTCAAAAATTGAAACGTTTTGAGCACTTTTCCGGAAATCTAGCATTATTTCTAACACTTTTGCGGCATTTATGTCATTTTAATTGCAAAGCTTGTTTTCGGTCGTCTCAACTTGTACGGACATTCCGTACAAGTTTTCGGACCTTTCAAACTTGTACGGACACTGTCCGTCGTGTCCGTAGTGGTGGCGACGCCCATGTCAGACTCCCATAGACTTTTGAATGCGCCGTAAGTGCCCCATACAGTGCCGTCGCACAGCCTTCACGAGGATCAAAGGGTGAACACGAAGCGGTGAAATTCTGCTAGCGGGTGGTAGCATCGACCCATGCGGCAGGGATCGGCCGATATTTTGGTCGACTTGTTCCGAGTTCGCCAGAGGTGGCGGTGAGTGCACAAGCGCGGCACCGATGGAGGAGCATCGTGGAGGTCTGGCTCTGCTGGGACCAGGCTGGTCCGCCGGACCGGGACCCGAATGGTCTCCAGACCGACCCCTGCGCGTTGTCGCCGTCAACTGCTTGCCCTACATCTCTGTGGAGCAGCGGCCGGACGGCTCGCTGGCCTACAGCAACGTCCTCTTCCAGTTGTGGCAGATCATGGCCGAAGAGCTGGGCCTCAGCTATGAGATGGTGGCACCACTCACGGACGGCTTCGGCACACTGGATGGCAACGGCACCTGGATAGGGGTGATTGGAGACCTGGTCGGCGGGCGCGCCGATCTGGCGCTCCAGCGGCTGGGCACCACACCCGACAGGATCGCCGCGGTCGACTTCCTAAATGGTGTGCCCTTCGACTCCTGGAGTCCCACGTTCTTTGTTCGACGTGACATAGCAGGGACGCCGCCTCTGTCTCCAGCGATGTTCGCTAGCCTGCTGCGGCCGCTGGGCGCCGACGTCTGGTGGACGCTGGCTGCCACACTGCTGGCTCTCTCGCTGGTGCTGCGCCTCTCGCTGCGGTTCAACAGTGCCAGAGCCGAGGACGGCCGGCTGGTGCGCGACATGGGCTGGGGCTCGTGTCTGTTCGCCATGGCCTTGACCGTGCTGGGCCAGGGCTGGCACAGGACGCCGCGGTCGCTATCCGGCCGCACAGCGACGATCATCGGATGGTTCCTGGGTATCCTCATCTTCATTAACTACACAGCCAACTTGATGTCATTCCTGGCGGTGCCCAGAGTCGTGCGACCCATCAGCAGTGTTCGCGAGTTTGTCGAACAGCCCGACTGGACTTTGGCCATGTACTCAGGCGCTCGGAAACTGGACGAGCTTAGATCCAGCCTCGATCCCGACGAACGGGAGCTGTATCGACGATCAATTACTGGTGACAGGTTTGTAGCTTTAGATAGTGTGGCAAAAGGCGATCTGCAAACATTGGAACCAAAACTGATGATTTTCGGTGATTTTGACGTCCTTTATCACTTCTTCGGTGAAGAGGCGTGCAACTATGTCCCGCTGCACACTACACCGATCAAACCAGTCGTACTCTTCATGGCGATTCCAAAAGGAAGGAGCGCTTTCAAGAAGGCCATCACCAAGGTGCTGCTGAAGCTGTACCAAACAGGCGTAGTGTCGCGACTCATACACTCTGTTTGGAAGCCTGATTACAGCATGTGTGCTCCACCTAAAGGCTTTGCAGAGTTATCTATCCATAACCTAATGCCCGTTTTCTGTCTGCTGCTGCTGGGAATTGTTACCAGTCTGACCATACTGGCAATGGAGCTGTTCTTGCACAAAATGTCACAGAGGATGCGCCGCCAGAGATGAAGAATATCGCACCTAAGTGTTGAGTCTGGCCGACGTCTGGTGGCCAGTAGCGCTGCCAGCGGTACTGCACGACCTACGGCAAGGCTAGGAGCGATGAACCGGACCTGACGGACCAGCCGTTATATGGTCAGACTGGCGGACACACATCAGTCAGCACACGCCGCCTGCGGCAAGATTGCACGGGAGTTCTACTGTTTTCCCAGCTCTCGAGTGCACTCTCGTGGAGCAATATATGTGTACCTACTTACCTAGCTGTGTGAGGTTTATTCACGATCGATGGCAACACAAGTCAAATTCCTAGTCAAAGTCCTAGTCAAATTCCTAGTCAAATTCCTAGTCAAATTCCTAGTCAAATTCCTAGTCCACAAGTCAGACTTGTGTTGCCATCGATCGTGAATAAAACTCAACCATGTCTGATTATTTACTGTGTGTACTTGTAGAAGGATCGTCTATGCTCCGGCGTTCTCCGCATTCGGGCCTCATCTTTGGACTATCTAAATCATTCACCTGAGAGGTTTGCTCACTTAGAGCTGAAGAGCGTTGCGCCTGGTAAATTGAACGGAGCTTTCGGTTGCTGGTCCTTCACGAACCCTTTTTAACGCACTGAACCTAGCCAGTCGGTATTTAGACCTAAGAGTAGCTATAAACGTTTTTTATAGCACCATTGAAGGATATGCTTATGTATAGAATAGAATAAACAGTCACAATGGTAACGCACAAGCCTTAGTTTTCGCGATTCTTCTCGTCGTCAGTGTGGTTGCTGTGATGTGTTATGGATGTGATCTGTTATGGATCTGCTATAACTGTTATAAAAATGCAATTATTGTTAGTAGGCGTTTATAAAGTTATCGTAATGTGTAGTAACCTCCGACCTCGTAAGTCAGAAATACAGCCGAGATGCGTCACGTTGGATCGTTCTGTCTCACTCAGGTTGGCAGCCACGATCACTCCCTCGCGAAATTACGGCCGCACTGGTGGAATGCCTTGTCAGCACTGTGTCAGTTGTCACTGGCTTGAATTTTGATAAGTCTCTGTTGAACTCGACCGCTTACGACTGCCTTACAACAGATGGCGGGCTGTTGCTGTGCTGATCCAGTGTTGTTTGGGGTAGGTGATGCCAATGCTTTTCAGGAAGTTCCTACGTTTGCTTGTTGACACAAAGACCTTCTTGATCATGAGATGAGTATTGAGTGGCTTCAAGCGATCAGCGATAAGTGCAGGTGTAAGTCAGTTAAGGAGTCTGTAGACGGTGCACGACTCATAGGTTGATTTAACGACTCCATGTCTTGGTTCTGAGCGTTGAAAAGGAGGGCGTTATTTTTCAATATTTGTTAGGATATGCACACTGGAACGCTGATCAGCAACTGCTCATATAATTCGTTTCCAATTCCCCGACTGGTGCTTCCGAATTCGCGAGCGTTTCGCGGTCAAACCTCGGAATCCACGCTATTAAAATCGAGAACCCCTGGATCGGCTCGGCGCGCCTGCGCTGCGCCATTGGTCCGGCCAAGTACGCGAGTAACGTCATTTTCTAAGCGTCATTCCTCGACTAAAGACACCAAGCAGAACCTAGAATTTCGGGTATCGTAAACTCGCGTCCGGGTCCGGTCTGTACTGACCGCCTGGACTTCTCTCGGAGTGGACAGCCCAGCTCGGCGTGGTTGCTCGTCCGCACCCAGGGCCCATTCCACGGCACGACACTACAGCGCGGTACGCCTATCGGTGTGTAGGGTTTCCACGGAAACATCAACAACCCCGGACGCTCGCAACAGTGGAACGTTGAAACGAATTCGGCTCAAACGCCGCATCAATACCGTTGCGTAGCGTATCGCGCTGTGGCGTCGTGCCGTGAAACAGGCCCAGGTCGTCGGTCCACCACGATAGTCTGACACCCGGTGACGTCCTTCGCTGACCGACCGTCACCCCGCCGTCAGCGCGCCCGTCCGTCATCCACCCCCGCGCGCTGCAACCGGTGCGGCAATGGATGTCAGGAGGGCCACGTGGGCGGCTGTCAAGCGGACGCGCGCCAGCGCGCGCGCGGAGTTGCGGGCAGCGAACGGTGCGGCTGAGCCGAGTGAGATCGCGGGGAGTGCAAGGAAGGCTGTGAATAAGTGTGAGGCTGTGCACAGTGTGCAGTGTTTGTGAGTTAACTTCGAAAGGTGTGATAGCTGTTAAGAAGTACTGCACGGAATCGAGTGTAACCGTCGTCCGGTGCTGCCTATGTCACAGCAGACGCTAAGTCGGCGTCGCGTTGCTGTCATTCGTCGCTCGTGATAGTGTTGATGATCCAGTTCTAGTCGCTGTGATATCAGCTGGTTTGGTCGAAGATCTTACGGTCTGAGGGTGAAAAAGCCTCAGCTGATCTACTCTGGTAAATTTCATCGTCTTTTGGGTTGATCCGGACCTCCGCGACTGTCCCAATGACCACCTTGTCATTGTGGGGTCCGTGCGCATCGCGATGAAGCTGCAGGTCCTGCTAAACTCGGTGATGGCGCAGCTGATGCTACTGCTCACCAGCGTTGCTGCGCTTCCTACCCCGGCGGCAGCACCTCCTGATCCTGTACCAACGCTTCCAACTGTTAGGTCAACACCTCTCACCCCAATACCAGAGCCTCCCACCCCTGCACCAACATCTCCTTCTCCTGTAGCAGCACCTCCCACGACTCCAGGATCAGCAGCCGTAGCATCTTCAGCAATGCCGTCAGCCACATCAATGACTGAGCCTTTATTACCCGCATCAGTGCCAACACCAGTCACTCGAACACCAGCTACCTCGCTGCCACCTGCCTCTTCGTCACCTCCCCTGACGAGATCTCGACTTACATCAGCTCCGCTCACATCTTCTCTCAGTTTGAGAGCGTCCCCGACCCGGCGGCCGCTGCTGTCTGACCCGCGGTCGGCAGGCTTGAGCAACGCCGGTCGCTCGCTGCGGCAGACCCTGCCTCGGACACGCGCAGACGAGCAGCTGTTTCGCCGTCCCCGCGGAACGTTCAACGTCAACAGTCGACAGCTGGAGCAGGGACTGCGCAGCGCGGCGGTGGCGCCCTCCTTCGGTGACCTGCTCTTCTCTGACCCCCGTGAGCGCCGTCAGTCAGCGACATGGTTGGTCTGCGTCCGTCAAATGGCTCACGTGGACCGTAGCTCATAGCACTGCTGCTTGAGCAAAATCAATGCTTACCTCGCGTTCGATGTCTCTCGGACGACGAAGATTCTACGTCGTCCGTCCAATTCCGTTCCATAACCGCAGCCAAGCCCCTGCCGACCTTGAACGGGATTGGCCGGACGGCGTAGAATCTTCGTCGTCCGAGAGACATCGAACGGTGACTGGGATTAGACTGTCGTTTTGAGGTCAGAGATTCCCCGTTACCAATTTGTGTCCTCGGCTTACTTATCGAATAATCGATTGGTTCTTTGAAATAATTGTCAATTGGCAATTTTTAGAACAGTTTTTAGAGGCATGTGCTTCGTTAACCCTCGCCGGCACAGGCCATTTTGAGTCCTTCGACGGCACAAGGGGGGGGGGTTGGTACGACCCCCCCCCCTCGCGTTTGGCCCCTGATTGAGCTAGAGCTTCGCGGAAAAAACGAGCGTGTTGCCCGTCACGAGAGGAAGCCGATGATACCCAATTTTAAGGTCCTAGGTCATCGGGTGACCTTCCAGGTCAGGTCAATGACCCGAAAACCGGGAAAATCGGGACCTGTTAGAAAGTCGTAAAGTGCGGCTGCTATGTGGTTTTCCGGGGTGCTGATCACGAATATCGTGTTAGTTTTGATCATAGATGATGTCTTTAAGCATTTAGACCAGGTCAGGTCAGGTCAGGTCAGGTCAACCGGTAAGGGTTGTGACGGGTATTCGTAATACGTGTCAACCGCCTCGGAAAGCTTCGTAACATGTTACGAAGGCACCAAAACTACTTCGTAAATGTTCAAATGGTTGCTAAATTCGAATTCAGCTCCAAAAACTAGCCTAGAAACATGTAAAACTCGAAAAAGTGAACCGAGGTCACCCGAGGTCACCAAAGGTCAATGACCTGACCTGACCTTCAGGTGACCTTGACACCCACCCTAATGCATGGGAGCAACATCAAATAACATGTTTGAACGTTTGAAACCACGAAAAGCTTGCAAACGCGCGGCTAATGCGAGCCGACATGCGCCGAACCGCGATTTCGGCCAAACATGGTCACAGAAAAGAGGTCACAGGTCAAAGGTCATTAAGGCCAGGGTCATGAAATTTTCAGGGTAGGTGTAAAATTGATCAATGCGAGGGTACTGAAAGTTTCGTCGCGATCGACCGCTTTTTACGCAAGTTATTTGCGAAAAACCTTAGGGGGGGTTGCATCAACCCCCCCCCCCCCCTGTGCCGGCGAGGGTTAAAATAGACGTGGGAAACCCTTTGCAAGATCAGATATCGACCATTTGACAATGATTTCCTTTCCCTAGGCAGAGCACCGCTCAATTTGACGCTGAACAGAACTGGAAGTGCAAATGCACTCTTTAGAAGAGAGTTTGCCAATCGTAGACGAGGTGAGATGGACGCGCAAATGCATACTTACAGTTACATACCTGTATAGCCTATAAGTAATGTATAGTCTCTCTTGAAAGTATCGCTTCAGCTCCCTGTTTTGAGGACCCTGACTTTTTAGGACTGGCCGTCTGGCCGTTTCCGTACCGTTTTCACGGTATTATGGGTCAGCAAGGCGGCCGACCCTCAAAAGCCAGGCGCTCTCAAACCAGGGAGCGATAGCGATACTTTCGAGGCACGATACTTCAAAGAGAGACTATACCTGCTGCTTCGTTCTTTCGCATAAATCGCATTGTATGTTGTCTAAAACTATAAGTCAAAGGTAGTAAACGGCATTAGCCATGATAAATTCTTAAGATATTGTTGTGCTGTTGCGTCATAGTAACTTGCGTCCCTCGTCTCCGCACAGATCCCGTTATTGACGTCACGCTGACCAACAACGTGACGCAGGCTGAGCGACAGCGGCGCGTCACCAACGTGACGGAGCTGGAGCGTAACGTGACGCAGGTGACGGAGGACGGGCCGCCCGGCACCGCGGCCAACCTGACCAGCCGCCTGCAGCGCCGCAGTCTGGGCAACCGCGTCCTCACCACCAACTCGGAGTCGAGGGCGCGCGGAGTCGAGATCCGACTCAGCTTCGGTGGGTACTGAGCGGCGACACTAGGGCTCGGACTTGGATGATATAACTCAAAATCAATGAGTCGGTTTTCGTCCTCATTTTGAACAACGTTTTTAGACACTTCAGAGCTGATCGGAAAAGGAGCGTGTCTGTCCACGAGAGGAACCCAATGGTACCCGATGTTGAATTGCCATGGGTAACCTCACACTTAAGGTCAGTTGCAAAAATTCGGCTTAAATTTACACCATTTGGAAACTTTGTCTGTCAAATGACTTACAACCCCTTTGTTTGGAAGACGTTTAGGTCACAGTGAACTTCTAGTGACCTCATCTGACCTCGAATAAACTTGACCATAGATAACGATCTATGACTTGGCACATGACGGGTCATGCAATGTGCCAAAACCAAGATTTTGGGGTTAAGTGGACTTCCCAGTACCTACTGATGGAGGTGAAAAGGCTGCTCAATATATTATTCAAGGGACACTATATAATTCTTTTCCGTTATTGACACGCCGTTTATTCTTTGACTATTTTCTTTCAAGCTGCGAAATCGGACATCTTAATTTATACCGGGCTTCTCAAAAAAGTTAGACGATTTTATAACTAACGTATTGAAGGGTGTATCAGTGTAACAAAACATAATTGGGTATCACCTAAAAGCCTCATCAAAGACATTTCGTTTGAGGGGATTTCGATCCTCGGCAGTCGCCTTTCTGAGCCGCGCCGAGGTTATATTCGAGATGATTCCCTTTTTGCTCGATGCGCAGTTTAGCCCGGCGCAGCGCGACCTCTGCTGCAGCACGACCCACGGAAAGCTGCAGACGGCACACCGCTGACTTCACTGCATCCTTATGATCTTCGGAACTTTTTGGGTGGTTTCGGTACACCTGGGACTTGAGGTGGTCCTATAGGAAAAAGTCCGGTGGGGTTACGTTCGGAGAATTCGCCGACCACGGGCGTGTCTCGAACCTCGAGATCACGCGCCGCCCGAAACGCTCCCACAGCCCCTCCCGTTTTTCTTTAGCGGTATTGGCGGGGCACCGTCTTGCTGGAACCATTGGATCTTAAGCGTTTCCGGATCTCTGCTCATCCTGCAATTGCAGAACCCTCCAAAACGTCGCCAGAGCCACCCGATATCGCTGACCATTGACAGTCTGAGTAGCGCATCTCTCACACGAGTGGTGTTCGCCGTGAGCTTTTGATTGGGTTTATGGCCGCCGCTGTGTTCCTTGAATTGCGTGAACCTATTGTTAACACTTCCTCGAGCCAGAAACTTGTCAAAAATGTGGAAAATTTTGTTTCAAGATGTTGCTCTCTTTGCCCTAAAGTGTTTGCGGATCTTCCGTGGTGTCGAACCGACCGACGTAGTCTGGGAAAGCATAATTTCACGAGTTTTGCTTTTACTTTCTAAGACCACGGCTTCATTTTTTAAGCTCAAATCATGGTGTCATATAAATCTACGAAAAATTCTCCGTTTTTCCACGTGCATTGATTTTGCTTAAATGTTGTTAGGGGTCCTCTATTCGCAAAAGAAATCCGTCTAACTTTTTTGAGAAGCCCGGTAGTTTGAAATGCTGAAATAATCTACAAAGAAATATGATATTAATCTTACAAGTGTTCAGTGATCTGTATGATGAGCAGACGCCCTATTTACCTACAGACGATACCGGATCCACGTTACAACTATCGGCCGACAATCGACGCACCCTCACTGACATCCAGCGAGACGACAACGACCGAACGATTGTCAGAAATTCAACCGACATCTTCACCGAAACTGGTATGGAGCGAATAACATCATATAAATTAAAAAATGTATTTGTTATAGAAAAAAGAATAGTCAACTATCCATAGATTTATGAGAACCTGGAACTAGAAAAGGAATTTGACATTTTCGACTCAACTGTAATTTCACTCAATATGCAAGAGCATGAGTACCTACCAATATATATTGTTTTTCTCCTATGGTATTAAAACGTTTTCGTGGTAACGTGGTGTCATGACAGACGATATGTCTTTACCCATGCAGGATTTTCGAGACAAATACGCAACATGCGACGAAATAGAGACAGAGTAAACACTGCCAACGTTAATGAGACTCAAACAAACTTATCCGTGGGTCTCGGGATTCAACCTCGTAATGTAAGTATCTGGCATTCAGCAATATGATTTCTTTTTAACCTAGCTGATGCGTACATGTTTGGCATAAGAATTATATATTTTTAGCGTAGGAACTCAGAACAATGTTGGTACTTGCTGCAATGCATATATTTTATTGACACTGACACATATATTTCATCAAGCATGTGATTCCACTCACGACACACTTTCGAGAATTGACAAAGCTCTGCTAAATCTTAGCAATAAGTAGCTGCATCTTTAGAAGATGACCTCTTCTTGTCTCATTCACCAGTGAAGCTGTCGATATGGCTATTGTCAAAACAGCTGCAAACTGCAAACGTCCTACACAGTCTTGTAGATGCTGATGTCTTCTCATCCGCGTCTGCTGAGATGACGTCACTCATGAGCGTCCACGCTTTTACCTTCCTTTGGCGTGTCATCAACTGAAGCATCTCCCCCAGTAGCCTCATCTAGGAGTGAATCATGCAGCGAAAGCTGCGGAAGACTGTCCTGCACCAGGCTGTTCATGTCCAGATCAGCGAAAGACGTGCAGCCCAATTTCTTCGCTAGATCGTTTATCTTGCCTGTGGCCTGAATTATTGTTTCATCCTTATCCTGGGGGACAGATATGACTCCCAAGTCTAAACCGAAATCCGCGATATCAACGGATATCTTGCATCCATCGAGCTCGTATACTTTCCTCAGCGTTTCAATGGATGCAAAGGTCTCCAAATCTTGCGTTGCTAGCTCCTTGACCTTTGGATTTTTCTCTTTCTTCAGATCTAGAAGATGACAGAGCTGTTTGATGATCGTTTCCTCATCTTTTGTCTCTTGGTATTGGCTAGCGTAGTCGCTATCTGCTCCACCCGTTGGGTACTTGAGCTCAAAGACATCTGACCTTGATCGTAACCAATAGTTTGCTAAGGTTAGCTTGAAGTCACTTGTATCGTAATACGTGTCCAGAAACTTATCTTCTTGTAAGACCTTGCCGCCCAGTTCCATTACCTTCTCGTGAAAGTTTTTGGGTAGCAAAAAGTTCCTCTCCACCTTACGTTCTTTTCCTCCTTCGCCTTTTTCCATTATCGAATGTCTATCGTCGTGCTTACGCGTTTGAGCTCCTTTATCAATTAAACTTAATATCACAAATTATCTGTAGAAAATAGCTATTTCTTGCTCAGAGATTGTGAAATAATCGATGTATATCAATCAGCTTGGGGCCTTTTATCCCTTTTATCCCAAAACAACTTAATACACAGCTTGCACGCAGCGCCAAAAGCATGATAAATAATAGTCCATTCACGTGCATGTGAAATTAGGAATCCCACGTCTTTAAAGTCCTTTGCCTAAATCACTTGCATCATTTTTTCTTTATTTTTTACAGCCAAAATTTGTTACAGATTCAACTAGTATCAAATTCAGTTTATTTAGTATTGCTTCACTTAAAACAGCATTTGTCACATACCTACCTAATTAAACCAATGTTGGGAACATTTCGGAGGCTTCTGTTTTTGACAAATAGAAACTTTGATTCTTTGTCGTCTTTTACAGAGAACCGTTCTCCAACGGTGACCACCTGCCAGCAGACACACTTCGAATGCTACAGAGAAGAATGGGAAACCTTCATTTTCGTGTACTTGGGAATGATAAAAGGCGCAGCCATACAAGCAGTCCACTGACCGTAAACCGAATCAATCAACTTGATTTACATTTACTTCTAAGGGGAGCAGTGGAATCACAAGTAACTTTTGCAAGATCCTGTATGAATCAAATTTAGCTTTTTGGTAGAGCTCTTGTTTTCAATTAATAATTGGGTTAAAAATGTACAGAAGGCTGGAATACACCGAGGAGCTGCAAAGCTTTGTGTTCTTTTGCAATGACAAAGCCGGGAAGCTCCTGATATATCTGCAAAAACTGCAGGGTGGTATGCTGTGTCTGTGTGTGTGGGGGGGGGTGAAGGGGGTGCTTAAACACCCCTGCTCGGAGCGGGTTGATCTCGTAACAATGCGTATGTGTTACGCTATGTTTGGTAAAAACGCAACTGTTCGCTGAATAAGTTATTCAAGTCCTAATATTTACACTTTGAAACACCATTGAAAAGACGTCTCGTCTCTCTTTTTCTTGTCCCAGTTCGTCTCTCCTCACTCCCCCCCCCGTCCCGTCGGGACTGACGAATGACGATATACCTACCGCCTGGCGTGTCTGTCCCCCCTCCCCGCCCCCCGTCTGGTGGGGGAGGGTGCCGTGACAGCCAGTGCGGGCCCTGAGGCGGCTCAGTCGGCAGTCCGGCTCAGGGGCAGACGGCGGGTCAGAGGTCGGGTCATCGGAGGCCCCCCGGAGGTACGACGAGCGGCATGGAGCAGCCAACGCCAGCGGTGCATAGTGGTGAGTGAACTATCCTCCTGATTCGATCTAGTTTAGTTTATTACTTATACAGAGAGAGAGAGAGAGAGAGAGAGAGAGAGAGAGAGAGAGAGAGAGAGAGAGAGAGAGAGAGAGAGAGAGAGAGAGAGAGAGAGAGAGAGAGAGAGAGAGAGAGTGAGAGAGAGAGAGAGAGAGAGAGAGAGAGAGAGAGAGAGAGAGAGAGAGAGAACTTTGTATTTACAGACACTATAGGCTATAAGAACATCTTGTTCGATCAAATTAAGGATTGTGATCAAATTAAGGATTGTGTAGATGACATTTATTTTGCTTTGTTTGCTTATCTATAAATGCATCCTCGTTGCAATGGCAAAACCTGTGTTTTTATTTTAAACAGATGCATTTTATAAATTTCCAGATAAATAATTAACAATCTGAAACATTATGTGGGGAACAGTGACTTTGGCCTTGGCCTAAAAACGCTTCAATTAATGAATGATCAGCTCTAATTGTAAATGCAATCAATTCGCAAGTAGGAGTTTGACGTTTGTACGTGATTACGTAAGAGCCTTCTAAGAGAGATAATTACGTAAGAGCCTTCTAAACGTACGTATGTACCAACTACAAATGAAATTAAAAGCAGACACCTTAGTACGGAGATGCTGTGGCGAAATGCGAATCCTCCTAGTGCGTTGAACGCGGAGGTTAGTTAGACTGTGCCGCAATACTTCGGTGCCGTCCAGGTGGCCTACCCGGCAAGGCAGCTTTAGCTTCGCGTTTTGGGGGCGGAGACTGCACAGTTATCGACCTCAGTGAGCAATTTATTTTCCTATTTTGACAACTTAACATTTTTTAGGAATCTTAAATGCATAATCATGATGTCATTCACCAATTATCATGCCCATCTAGCATTTAACGGATTACTTATCATCACTGCATACGGCTTAGCTCCGATCAATGCGATATCACCCGTCAATTTTCACAGAACCATCCTATTTACCCTTCTACCCCTGTTCATTTCAGAGCCCTCTGGCAGCGTCTTGGATGACTTCGGGAAGGCTGGACCCGGTGGGCGGCCATGGAGGGAGAACCGACTGCAGGGACAGGACTTCTTTGAGAAAATGGTGAGCGATTCGATTGACCTCTGCTCTCCTATTCGCAGTGCTGTCCATTTTCTCTGTGATTGTGTGACTGATTAATTACATATAAATGAGTTCAGAGCTACGACTGCAAAAATCGAATTGCGAATTGCAATCTATAAGCTACCAATTTGCCCCGAATTTCAGTTACGTTTCCACACCGTTGCTTTGATCAACCCTCACGCTTTATCTTTGAGCCCAAGAAACCACTGGATATTCATTTGTGATGATATTGAAACAAAAGCTTAGTAAAATATGATATTATAATTAAGATATTAATTTGCTGATCACTTGCAATTGGCAGCTTTGACAGATTTATTATCTTATTCTATGTAAATCGAGATTCCATCATCAAAAGCCTACGTTTGATGTCAGCGGCCGCAGCATCGTAATCTACACAACACGCCGTCTTCATCATCTGACCGGGGTCCTGCAGCCTCGGCCGATAACCTCCGTGGCTCCGGCCACGTGCAGCTGCGTGCGTGACCGTCCGTCGGTCGTGCCGCTCATCGGCGCTCGATTGGAGCCGCCGGCGGGTGGCCTGAACTGACCAGGCGCCGCCGGGGGACCTCAGAGGCCGGCGGCGCCAGCTCGGGGGTCTGAAAAACACCGACAGACGCCGACCCGACCGTCTGCGCCGGAAGCTCGCGTGTCCGAGGGCCTCAGACCGGCGCCGGAACCGGAACAAAGTCGAGAGCGGCACGCAGTGCACTCGCCCCCACTGATCGAACGAGGAACGAACAAAGAGTGGGTGACGGAAGTCGATTGAATCATAAAATCAAATCATATTTTTCAATCAAGTGGTCCATGCCCTCGACACCTCATCAACAATGCATAGTTTGCATGTTAATTGCAAGTCTTTCACGTTGCAGGAGTACACTACATTTTTTAGCCTAAAAACTTTTCAGAAATCTTTTTGGGCATTTTTGTACCGTTTGAAGAAAGCTCTCCCTAATAAGGTTTAATCATTTTTCATTTTAAGCAAAGAAAACGGTTATCTATCATAATTTCGAACGCTGAGCGGGGTATGTACCTTGAATCACCCGTTCCACCAGTGTTTTTTTTTTTTTTTTTTGTAGGAATCGTGTTGAATATGATTACATCAGCATGTGGTTCGAGCAGCCGCCATTTTAGAGTGGTCTCGTGACGCCGATCGTCGAAACGCCGACACAGATGGCCGAGTGTTAAAGTGTTTGGACATGACCTTGAACGGACGACCAGCAACAGCACTTTAACTTTGACTCTAAATCTCGTGTGGCAGACCTGATACGCCACCCGTCTATTTCTGGGAATATATGGTTACAGAATGGCGCAGCGCAGCACGGCTGAGGACTGACTGGTGGTCAGCCTCACACAAGGAATATCGTCGTAACTTTTTTTTAATATAAGTCCTCATTAGGATATGCAGCCCCTCACCCACTCCCTTCATAAAGTTTCCACGGCTGACGTAAAAGCGATGGAGTTGGTGTCGCCTTATCTTACTATACTTGATACTTTACGTACTACATTGCATACTTCATGGTCTATTTTTGCATGTTTTTGCATACTAAACTTTGCATACTTTTAAGCCATTCCCTTAGAACTGCAAGTTTCAGTGACCTCACGATGATCCCACGTCACCCTGTAGGGCTGGGCGACCTCGGCGGACCAGCGTCGACGTAAAAAGGAGATCGAGCACTACCGAGAGGCCCTGAAGCAGATCCTGGCAGAGAGGAAGCGGGCCGCGAGGGAGGAGAGACAGTTCAGACTGGACGAGGTAACGCTGCGGTGACCGGTCATTTTGCTCATATATATATATCTAACTACATGGTTCCTGGAAATAACAGAAGAGCAGTGACTTTTACTTGTCGTTGGTACGTTGCCATCATATTTGGCAAATATGAGCCCTGTTCAACACCATGAACTTGAAATTGGTAATAGCACTTCAGTAAGAAATGTGCCTTCCGTCATCAGCCTGCTGACTTTATTCCATATTCCACATCAGGCTCAAAACTTTGTCTACAATTCACGCCAAACGTTCAACAACTGCTGCTGCTTATCACTATTTTACCACCATTGTCTATCACCATGGTCAATTCCCATCGCCTCCCACCCTGTCTGCCCCCAGTCTGGCATCTCTGTGTACCCGCTGATGAAGCAGCTGGCCACGGGTCGGCCTCGGCGTCAGCCAGACACGGAGCTGCTGTACAACCCGCTACCCCATACGGACGTGACGCGACACAGGGAAGGACGCATCACCTACCCGCCGCTGGAGCAGAGCCACTACCGCCGTCAGCTGGAGCTGCAGATCCAGGAGAAACAGCAGGAGAAACAGGTGGGTTAGAGTGACTGCCGCCTCCAGATCCGGGAGAAACAGCAGGAGAAACAGGTGGGTAGGAGTCACTACTGCCGTCAGATCCGGGATAAACAGTGGAAGAAACAGGTGGTTTTAACTGTACACTCAGAACAAACGGTGACTTACATGTGTGTGAAACGGTTAGTGACATTTCAGGAGAAACAGAGGGTTAACCAGATCAAGCTGGAAGTGTACGAAACCAGAGACTAACTAGATTTAGAAGAAATCAAGAAAGCTTGAAAACCCAGAAAGATATTAGGAGAAACAGGTTGGTAGAAGGGGAGAACGAGCTACGACTTACGAGGATGGTCTGTAGCTACCCGAAGCTTTGGAGTTCGGTTGTGACGGTATCAATTAAACCAACACCAAAGCCCTTTTGTGGCCGCCGCTGAATAGAAATCCCTTTGGCGAGTCTTTGTGGTGCGTCTGACCGGGTTGATGACGTGCCCAGCCCCCCGGCGGGTTCGGGGAAGGACAGGGGGTCACGACCGGCGGCGTCCCCCGGGTGGGACGGCCCGCTCTGTTCGGCGGGGCCAGCTCGGCTCGGCACCGCACGTTTGATCGATGCTCCAGTGCCACCCGACACTGGGTAACCGGGTAATCGGGACGACCGACACGACATACGCCGCTCGGCGCCGGTCGGAGCATCGCCGCGCCGCCGGGATTGACAGGGAACGGTGTCAGGACCGTGTGTGGATGCCAGGGAATTGTGTCAGGATCGTGTGTGGTATACCTTATTCTGGTAGTTCGGGGTCACACGAGCATGCCAGTCCTAAATAATCCCGGGCGAGACTGGGATATTTTGTCACGCTGATGGACACTGCATCACTGGCATGCTTGACCTTCTCAATTGGCAAGAAAATCCTGGCTAATTACGGTTGGCGCACATTTAATAATAGTATTTGGAATTCCAAGAATGATTTCTATATAATGATTGAATTTATATAGAGCGCGTCTCTAGGTGTAGCTTGCTTCTGTAGGAATAACTGAGTTCCTACCGACTGCCGTACTTTTATCTACAATCTAAATAGCATCATAGTTATGTATTTATCTAACCTCTCTCTCTCTCTCTCTCTCTCTCTCTCTCTCTCTCTCTCTCTCTCTCTCTCTCTCTCTCTCTCTCTCTCTCTCTCTCTCTCTCTCTCTCTCTCTCGCTCTCTCCCCCTCTCCTTCACAGCGGGCCCGTGAACAGTACTGGCAGGAGACGGTACAGCATCTGGAGAGTTTCTCCAAGTTCTGGGGTCGACCCGGAGGAGGGGCGCCCATCTCTCAGCAGCACAAGAAGGCCAACATCTCGCGCATGCTCTTCCCCGACGCTATGCAGCCTCAGAACGTGGCTTGATGCGCACAGTGGACAACTAGCTAGTGATGGATGTCGATGCCAGTGATTTTATTTTACTAGATGTTCCTTTGGAATCGATCATCATAATTTGCATTTTTTTAAATAAAGTGCTTATTTGCAGCTGTTACTTGTTTCAGTCATATTATTAGGTATGTAAAGTGATCTTTAACCAAGTTTGATATTTTGCACCGTGCATACGGTCACGTAGTACTCGTATAATTATTGATAAAAGCTTTATTGCTGTATATATTCATGACATTTTGTTTTTCCCTTGGATCACTTCAGAACATTTCAACCTTGACTTATTTATGAATATTAGTAACTGGGCAGCCCAAGTAACCAAGTAATAGGCATTCAATATCTCTTCGTTGTTGTAATGTAGCGCGGCTAGCACCCACTTTTCGATATCTTGATGTTGTAAAGTTGATTCAATTCGGTGTTGCGCTAAGGGAAAGGTGCACTGAATCATGTAGTTAATCGCTCAAGGTCTTTCGCTCTGTGTCGCCTGTTATATTTTTATGAGTTTCTGTTCATCATTGAAGCCTCATCTGAGTTTACTCTAAACTCTTTCATGTCGAGGCTAGCGTATCTGCCGCTGATCCAATATGTACAGGTCTTGGGACGTCTAATCAATCCCACATTTTATACCAATCGATAATGATGTTATACTTCAATAAAAGATTCTCTATCATTATTATGCCATGATGCGTAATGTTGGTGGAAGAATTGCAATCGGCTGCATATGAGAAATGAAGATCAACTTTGCATATGTCGACGTCAATGCATGCTTCAGTCGTGATGCATAAATGTCATCATTTTCTAAAATATATTACACACTTTCCGAGTCAGTTCTCAGATAAGATCGGCATGGATATATTTATAAGGAATGAGGCCTGAGCGTACATAGGGCCGACATAAGTAGGTATATATTGTTTCCACCGTTCCAGTGTGCCTATAGCTGCTTATGCCGTTTAAAAACCAATGTTTAAAGAGTCGCACGCTATGGAGGAGAAAGTAGATGATTTCCTCGTCATATATGTCATGCAGAATCAGAGTGCAGATACAGAGAAGAAGGCACATGATGAAATGGGATCAACACTTAAATGAAGTCAAAGTGAGTCATACAGTGCATACGAGTACATCAGGGATACAGTCATACAATAAAGAAGTAAACAAGAATGGCGAAAGAATGTTTCGACCCTGCCCTTTTGAGATCCAATGTAGGTATATGTCGCGCAGCCATAAACGGTAAACGGCTTCCGAAACAGCGTCAAAATCGCTCAGAATGAAAGCATAAATTGTGGTTATAGCGCCAGACCAAAGGTCAAATGACCAGAGGTCATCAAAAGTCGAAGTTTCCATTTTTCATATCTAATAAACTATTTCATATCTCATTAGCTGCACTATGTAGATTGTAGAGCTACAGCGTCGCAAGAAGATATTCCAGGGCTCTTTTACTTCTATCTCCCAAGAATTCGTCAGATCTGACATTACATCAACGGTTTGATCTTTAGAGCGCTGAAATGTTGCGATGTTGCAACGCAATATTTGCTGAAACATTAACTCTGCGATTTGCTTTGGCATAGATAACATGAATCATGTTATCTATGGCTTTGGGCGTCCTGTTTACATGCAAGTTAACATTTGACTGGCACCATTGCATACAGGACCGTCTTTACCTACCATGGTCATCGAGTCATCGAACACAGCACAATGGTAACGGGTGGTCAGTCTCAGTATGAAACTGGACAAAATTAGATTATCGCCTATAATGGACACATTTTAATGATTTTTGGCAGGTGAATATTTCCAGTTATTTTACAGTAGCTTACTAAAGGCCGGCTGTTTCGTTCTCGTAAGCAGACGGCGCTGTTACGCTGAGGACCGGCTGGAATTGGATACCCCATAGATGTCGCTAGTAGCACACCGAGGGCCTGGCGTAATCTGACTTCGCTTTGACGGCGCTGCTGCGCTTACGCTGAGGGCCATCGAAATATTGCATAGATGTCGCTGGTAGCACATGGGGGCCTCGCGTAATCAGGCTGCGGTGATGGCCACACATTTTTTTTTTGCTCTGATGCCTCTGACCTACTTTCAGGAAGCACAAATCCTCCTCCTCAACACCCCAAAACCCTGCTCTCTGGCCTGTACGATCACCTTATCGGGCGTGGGTAGCTCCATCACCCAGGAGCAGGCTCACATGCGGTGGGGTGATCGTTTGCGAGGCTGGGTGACCTGACCCTTGAGACGGTCTCAGCCCCGGTGGCGGACCAGGGTGACCGCCCAGACCAAGATATCCCCTTAATTCCTGCCATCCCTGCGGGTCTGTATTGGTATAATGACTTGAGACCGAAAGGGCCTATAGTCTAACAACAGTATAAACGAACAAACGAACAAACTATCATACAAAAGGCGCAGAAAGTGATGCCTGCTGGGTCGGGGCTCAGGGCTGCTCGTTTTCAGATTCGCTGGTAGCGCAAGGGGTGGAGGCCTGTCTGTCTGGTCGGTGGGTCATGGACCAAGGTCGCCGAGATATTCACAACGTGAGCGAAAATAGATACGTACGGCTGTCTACTTTTTCCAGTATAAACGTCAGAAAAACAGCCAGCGTGACACGCTGCGTGCGTACCAATGCAAAGGCAGAGCCTTCATCGCTAATGTCGTGGTTTCGTGAAGAGATAATTGCAGTTTGCACCTATATTCTTATGGATATGGAAAGTTATGCCGTAACAGGAACGTTAAAATGTCTTTATTTGCGCCGATAACACCAAAACACGCGGTCACGGTCACGGAAGTGTACCAAGTGACAATGATGCAATCTCTTCGAGATGTGGCAAACACGGCATGCTAGTTTGACAAACGAGGATTTGGCGTCAGTTGGTCACATCAACACACAACACGAAATTGTATAATTCAACTAAAGTGTATAATTCACCCTCCTCAACCTACATATATTTAGCAGCTGTTACGGCTTGATATTGGGACGCCCAAAGTCCATGTGAAGTTACGTAATGTGCTGGTTGACCACGGTCTCTCTGTGTATGGCGTATCGGACTGAACAGGGTCTCTGTGAACGTGGTCTCTCCCCGATGTCCGGACCATATCAGGCCGGACTGCGGTCCACGGTCCGGGAGGGCTGGTCCGGCCCCCTCGGCTTGGTCCGCAGTCAGCCGGGGCCCGGCTGGCCGGCTGGGGAGCGTGCCCTCAGGCATGACGTGTGTGGCCCCTCCCTGTGGCTGGTGGCACGCCCCACACCCGCACCGCGCCGCCGCAGTGACACGGTGGACTGAGCTGAGGGTGGACCAGTGGACCAGTGGAGACCAGTGGACCAGTGTGGACCAGCGGACCGGCGCACACACCACCCAATGTGGCGTCCACCGTCACCGGACAGCGGCGCAGGAGGGCAGGTGAGTGGTGGGACGTCACAGGTGATGTGGGTGTTGTGAGGTCAACTGATGTTGGTGATGTGACGTCACAGCTGACCTCGGAATTGGGCTCAGATATAAAAGGTGCTCTGGCACCGACCCCGATCCCAAACAGCCCATTTGAGCGTAGTCCATCCCTATTTCAAACCCGGGACAATAACTTTTCCTTTGCCCTTTTGTTTCATGTGACAAAATTACGGACAAATTAATTTAACATATTAATCTTAAAGCTCGAATAAAAGTGACATAGTCTGTCAAATGCGGCATCTGCCGTTCTGCAAGCGGAGGGGAGCGACACCAACAGCCCCAGTTTCAACAGTCACATTAAATTGCGACGGTAAATTGCATAGGCAAATGAGCATACGCGTATGTTTCGACGCTAACCGAGAAAGTATTGTCCCGATGAAACTGTCGCTGTTCACTATAGGCTCACGACCCCGGGGGTCCATGTGCATTCAGTTGAGAAGAAAGGTCGAAATGTGACCGAAGGGTGCTGAAAAAAAAAACTAGTTATAACCATATGAATAATGTCCTGGCGAGCTCACATCCATTGCCAGCGTTCGGCCGTTCGTAGCCAGATCAGTTAAGTCTGCGTTATGTGCAGTCTGTCTTCGATAGGTATTGTAATATTGTAACCAACCCTGCAGCTCATTATCCCCAGCTCCACGGGTGATGCTGCGCTGCTCAGTGGCTATGATATAGACGGCCGTACTGACCGCCTCCCTGCCCAGTGGGGTGTGGGTGCCACTAACTGGGCTGGGTCCGGCCCCGACCCTGACCTCGCCTACGACACGACTCCGTCACACGGAATGACTGGACGTCAGAACTCGGCTGCTGCCGTCATAATTGGGGCATGAGTCCGCCTCCGCTGCTATCAACCCTGCCCGTCTACCCCGTGGATGCAGTCTATTTACCCTGTCAGCCCTGTCTCTCTATGCCTCCAGTGCCCCCCCCCCTCTCTCTCTCTCTCTCTCTCTCTCTCTCTCTCTCTCTCTCTCTCTCTCTCTCTCTCTCTCTCTCTCTTACTCCTTTCCCTCTGTCCGTGCCGTGCCGACCCCCTCCGTGACTCTCAGCGGGTCGGGCTGAGCAAGGCGGGGCAAGGCTGTCCCTGAGGCTGACTGAGCTATGGTGTGCCCACAGTCCAGTGCTCTGGACCGGCGGCAAACAACTCCACCAAACATTGCGCTCGGTTTGTTACGCTCGCTCACGTCAGTTTGAGGGCCGCCTGTCTACGCTGCTGTAAATACGATTCTGTACATGCCTTGTCAGATTTTGGCGGCGTTATCTCGTTGAGCAAGAAGGTAGTCGTTCCTTCTGACCTTTCCACATTGTCAGGAGCACGGTATCAGATTAACTGATGTGAACTTTGGACTTTCAGAGGCAGCAGACAGGAATTTACTGTTTGTGGCGTGGTGTTGGGTAAAATGACGGCCTGTAGTTAGATCAGAATTTTTACAGAGCTATACTTGTGAGTTTGTAAACTATTGTCAATCCAGCTACATATGTCGCCTGCTGGTTCTAAAGAACTTTAACCCGCGCACCGACGGGGGGGGCGGATATCCGCCCCCCCCCCTGAGGTTTTTCGCGAATAGCGGGAAAACCGCGGCGCGTAGCGCCGCGAAATTTGGTACGACTATTTCCTCATCAGTTTTACACATGATGTGCAAGTTTGAACCTCCTACCTTTCAAGGTCAGGTCACCAGGTCACTTTGAATGACCCAACCTCAAGTCACTTTTTTGCAACTTTGTCACCGTGCCAGAGCTACAGTAGATGTCGGAGGCCTTTGAAAGTCGCAGGATGTTATTAGGTCATTAGTAGCTACAATTTGTTTATCTCGGAATTTTGATATCGGTGACCTAAGGTCAGGTCAATTTCGCGACCTCCCCACTATAAGTCAATAGGGGAAAAATCAACTCCCTGTTTTTACCACTAAAACGGGTCGGAATGGCCCCATATACCATACATGACTTCATATACGATCAATCTTCACTACCTTGAGGTCTGTTTTGCTGTTGGGCAGCTGTGAGGTCATGTGACGTCATCAAAGGTCACCAAAGGTTTTTGGCCAATAACTCCGTACAGGAACAAGATACAGACGCGTGGATGGTCTCATTGTGTTCAGCTCGTCAAGACGCATCGAATGATATACATGATGACCTCGAGGTCACGTGACCTGAGGTCAACCTTTGACCTTGACCTTTCGAGGTCAACATATATATATATATATATATATATATATATATATATATATATATATATATATATATATATATATATATATATATATATATATATATATATATATATATATATATATATATATATATATATATATATATATATATATATCATTCGATGCGGATTGACGAGAGGATCACGATGATGCCCTTAGTTTGTTCCTATCTTGACTAATTCGAA